GAATTAGTAAATTTTGTTGGCTTCACTTGTTTGAAGGTCTCAAATGGTTAGAACTTAGATGGAGTAATGTGAATGAAAGAACAATTATAAAATAGTTATCTATATTTGTTTATATTATAAAAAATTAAGAACTAAAAATTTCTATATTCTTTATTTATAAAGAATTTATATTGTACTAAAAAAAAAAACGTAAGAGGATGAGCTCAAATTAACTTAAAAAGAGTGAAAATGTTATTAAAGGTTCAGCCATTTTTAATTAAATTCTAAATTTTAACTCCACATGACTAGCTCAATCAATCAAGAGGGATAAATTTTTTGCTAAGTGGTTAGTAAACTTTTCGATCAACATTTATATACCATATATAGAGAATATTTTATTAGTTTTAACATACGTAAGCTATAATTGTTAAGGAAAAAAAAGATAACATATTTATTGATAAAATTAATAAAATCTGCGAAAAATAAAAAAGTCCAAATTGAGGATTTTTTTTTTTGTCATTTTGGCTCTTTTTTTGCTAATTATTTAATAAAAATTGTGATTTATTTTCTATTCAATAGAACAATACATAGTTACTAGTTAATAACAATTATTAGTTTTTAATTTAACAAAATTGAATTCGCTTGTATTTTTTTGAACTCAATTACAAGTTTCCAATTTTAATTTAATATATAAAAAATGAGAGTCTACTACGGCAGCCCGTCGGTGATTATTTTTTAGAGGAGATATAAACCAAACCAAAGCACACGCTCTCTCAAAGCGCGACGCGTAGTCAACACGCCCCTAGTTTCCAGTCGAGTTGTAAAAAGACAAATGGCAAATGGCTGGCCGATACCTAATGGTAGTTGGTCGTTTTCCAGCTGGGCCCAAAATTTTACCTGTCCCCTGCACCGGTTTCTCAATATTTCTTTCGTTATTATTGCTTTCGCCCTGTTTTTACAAGATTTTTCACTTGTACCCCAATAGTGCTTTAAAGTTCATAACATTTTGTTTTTGCTTGCTTAGAATTAGACATTACTACTACTTAAAAAAACAGTAAATTTTACAAAAAAAAAAAAAAAAATTGTTTATTTGCTTGCTTAGAATTAACATTTACTACTACTTATAAAAAAACAGTAAATTTAAAAAAAAAAAAAAAAAAAAAAAGTAATTTTTTGAATGAGAATGCATTTTGTTTTAAACAAATAAAAAATATTAATATTATTATATTTTTTGAAATATGTTTATTATTCATAGAAATTTAATTGTTTTTTATCTTCTAAGATGGAAAATTACTTTGTATAGTTTAAGATGAACAGATTTTATTTTGCCTTCTACGAACTCCACAAATCATTTTGTTTTGCTAGGCACGTCGCCAGCGATAGCTTTATCATGCCCGATAATATAAGTTTTGCTCTTATAAAGATGAATTACTGAGTGATTTGTCTCCATCTTCACCCCTAGCGACAATAATGGAGTCCAGCACGCCCTTTTTACCCTTTCAATTTACTTATTATTTCATCTAGCCAACATGCGTGGAACTTCCTAAATATAGAAAGTATGTAAGTTGGTGAAGAAAGAGAATTATAAAATTGCAATTTTACCGCACGAAGAAAGTCAACAACTTCAGAAATAGACTCAACAGCCTTCGCTATGAGCTCTAATATAAGCAATAAGGCAATCATCATTTCTTCAGTCCATACACTTTTATTTATCTGCATTTTTTCACAGTAAGGAGACTCGTCAATTTCATTTTTTGGGCAATATTTTAGAAGTAGTATTATTATTAAGAGTACATAGATGAATCAAGCTATAGGGGCATTAGCTAAATGAAGAAATGGATAAATTGATTCTTTGAACTAATGTTGGAGGGAAAATTAGCTTAAAAAGTTGATTTCTGGATGATTTGAATATATATTCCAAATTTAGGGACAAAATCAACTTTTTTACTAAGCTCAAAAAAAGTGGTTTAATATTAATCCAAAGGCTATGCCTGCTTGCTTTTTTATTAGCTTTCTTTCTAGATTTTCGTAACAAATGGTCTGTTCGGTAAATATAACAGTTCTCGCAGCTATTAGCTGTTTCAATAATTGTTAAATATTAATTATTAATAGATATTTTAAGTAGCTTTGTAAAGCAGAAGTGTTGGATAAAAACACATGTTTGATTGACAACTAAATTTAAAATGACAAAAAAGAATGTTAAAATATTCACTTAGAATTTTCGCTTATAACCATAGAATTAAACTCATTGTAAGAAAAAATAAGATGATTTCAATAAACCTAAATTTTTAAAATTTAAGGGAGCAAAAATAAAAAAAATTCACTATTCTAAAAATAAAATTGAAAATTTTTAATATTTTTAGGGATCAATTTTTTTGATTTCTAATATTTTCTTGAGTTCAAATACAAATATATAAACAATTTTTTTTTTTCTTTTACTATCAATTATGAACAAGCCAAGCATAAAAAATATATAATGTGATATAAGAATTTCAAATTAATAACAAAGAGGTTGTAAAAAAATGTATGTGAAAAGACCTAAAAAACATTTTAGAAAACGATCATTTATCCTTTAAAAGCTATTTCATATATCAGATTCCTGAACATAATAATATAGAGATAGTGTTTTAACTAATTAAAAACACTAAAAGCTATTCTAAACACTGTTGTCATATTCAACCAACAAAAAAACTTGATTTTTACCTTCCATTTTCAAACTTTCTTTAGAAAAAAGGAAATTAAAAAGATATAATAGTTATCAATAAAATAGTGAACCAATTCTCGTGAGGGTGAAACACAAGTTTAATCTCTAAAAAATGTGTATATCGAAAAAGTAAAAAACATATTTACGTTCTACATGCCAAAGAGGGATTATACCTCTTGGTTCTACCAAGCTAGAGCCATTTGTTTTGGAAAGTACATTTTCGAAAAACACTTTTTAAATTTTTATGTTTGGAGCAACAAAAAAATATTAAATAAAAGAAATTCATGATCAAATGAAAATTACAATGAGTCTTAATATTTGTACCTAACAAATTAACTTGCTAAGTGTTTGGTAAAAATTTTAATATAGAGCTAATAGCTAATATTAGTCTAATATTTTTTTCACGTTAATTTTTTTTCTATTATTTAAAATAACAATAAAATTTCTATTGAATATTATTTAAAAATTTTAATTAATATTTTTTATTTATAACACAATAGAATAGAAAATATACTAAGTTACTAACCTTAACAATTAATAAAAATATACATCATATCATAACATCATAACATCATAACGTATAAAAATAATTACACTCTTTAATAATTATTTTATATTTTAATAGCGACTGCTACTAAAAATTTCAAATACCAATATTCTTCAGCTAATTGATATTAGCCACCAGTTATCATCTATTAATAAATTATCATCTATCAACAACTGCTATAACTATTATGAAAAGTTACATCAAATAGGTTCTGAATTATTCTAAAGTGAATGATTTTTTTATAAAATAAATATATTTTCTCAAACATTGACAAATATATTATAATAAAAAGAAAAAAAACTTATTTTTCTTCTTTCTCTTTTTCCTCCTCCATCATTAAGATGCTCTTATTTTTTCTCCATCAAAGACCCAAGAATCAATGTAGATATGAGAGAAAGACATTCTTATCTCTTAAGATCACATCCTCCCTCTTTTTTTTTTTTTTTTTTTTTTTTTTTTTTTTTTTTTTTTTTTTTTTTTTTTTTTTTTATTTATAAAATTTTTTTTTTTTTTTTTTTTTTTTTTTTTTTTATTTATAAAATTTTATGTTATTTTTATCAAATAAATTCGTGATCTTTGGTCGTTGGCACATATCAATTTGATAACGGTTCATATTTTTATTTTTTCTTTTTTTTTCTGTGATTTATCTCCATCTTATGTGGAGTTTATGATCTTTCTAGTTTATATGTGGAGTATTTGATCTTTGTTTCTCTTGTTTTTGATTTGTTTTTATTTAGATAGCTATGCAATTTGTCTGGACAATTTATTAAATAGATTTTCGTCTAGCCAATCACTTGAACACTCTGTTTGAATGGGGAGGTATTTTTTTAAACGAATCAAAATAGTTGAGAAAAATAGTTGTGGAAAACAATTTTACTTTGTTTGGAAAAGAAGGAAAAATTAATTTATTTTTCTCCCTATCTCACATAAATAGAAGCTCTCCATTTGAGAGAGAAAATAACGGTGGAATGTTGAAGTTTCTCCAACTTTTTATGCAATTACCCAAATACTCAAATTATTTTTAACTAAATATTGATGTTATATGATCGTCAAAGTCCTTTAAAATGATAAGGGAGGTTAAAATGACAATATATCAATATTAATAATTTTTTCCTTTAAAATTTCGTCTTTTCTAAACAGAGGAAAATAATTTTATTTTTTTTATTCGTTATTTTCCTTCATTTTCCAAATACAACTGTGAAAAATAACAATGGAAATAAAATTAACAATTTATTATTATTTTTTCTTTATTATTTCGATTCCTCTTCTTTTCAAACAGAGTATACAAGTCTATCAATTTTTTTCGCCTCATGATTTCTTAAAATCTGTTTAGTTCAACTGTCCAGTTGATAGCCCATAACAATTGCAAATAGCTAATGTTTAGTGGTTAACGGATATTAGCTTATGAATATTAGTGTCTTATAAATTTTTATAGCAATTGTTGTTAAAAATAGAAAATGATCATTAAGGATAAGTTCGATTCCACTTTCTTAAGCAATTCATTTTTTCTAAATCCAGGATGTACAATGTATATTTTTAATTGTTAATGTAAATATATTATTTTTATTTTTATATTTTATATAAATAAAAATATTAAGTAAAATTTATAAAATAATATTTAATAAAATAATATTAGTTACTAACAGTGTTTTATTCTGTATCTGCTCTTCTGATTTTTTTTTTTTTTAAAACACCGCAGCTGTCAAAATTGTTTCTGTAATTATATACTAGTTTTGTGTATTTATAATTTATCACCGCTGCAGTCAAAATTTGTCGCAACCATACCCTTCGGCTCTAGACCTCTACTGCTACCAAGGCAACAACTCTACAAAACTAAATAAAACCGCTGTATTTCAGTTGGTCTTCAACTTGATTACACCCACAAGTCGATCAATCAACAACCACCACCTCCACCACAGCCACCTGGAAGGGAAATGGACCCGTCAAAGTTCATCGGGAAGCAGCCGATGACGATGGACATAGAGCAGATGCCCGACATCCCACAGCGTGGGTCCCACCACAGGCGGGCCCACTCCGACACCTCCTTCCGCTTCGACGACCTCCTTCTCTTTGACCCATCGGACCTCGACCTTTCTTCTCTCGACCTCCCAACTCCTACTCCGCCTCGCAGCGGCAGTGGAGTTCCCATGGCCGTCGATTCCGGTTCAGTTTCCGATGACTCTGCATCGGTGTCTCACAGTGGTCCGAGTACAAAGCCGAAACCCATTAACCATCTGCGTAGCCTGTCTGTTGACTCGGATTTCTTTGATGGGCTGGGCCTTTCGAGTGGCGGCGGAGATGAGAAATTTGGCGGGAAAGCTGTGGCGACGGCAGCGGCTGGGGCAGGAGGAGGAACGGGAGAGAGGAGGGTGCATCATAGACATAGCAATTCGATGGATGGGTCTACATCGTCGTTTGAGATAGAGTCTCTTATGATAGACGGTGTTAAGAAAGCTATGGGTCCTGATAGACTTGCTGAACTTGCTTTGATTGATCCCAAGAGAGCCAAAAGGTCTGTCATTTTGTTTCTAATTCAACTCGAAAAAGGAGGGAAAGTCTCTTTTCTGTTTTACTTGAGTTAGATTTTCGGCTTGAAAAGGGATTATTACTTGCTTGTATTTGATAATATAGATCGCTCGTGATATGCTGCTTGCCAATTTTTTCTTTTTTAAATGGAAAGAAAGGCTTAGGGATTTAGATAAATTATTTGGTAGTGAAGCTTATGGGTTTCAATCTTTCTCTGAATCTGCTCTGTACTCGAGCTTTATATGTTTATCTTTATCTTCTGGTCCAAATTCCCATTTTTCTATCAGTATATTATGAAGAGGATGATTGTTGAGAAGTTGGCGCATAGTTTTCTTATCAATTGTTATTTTGTTCTAGGATTCTTGCCAACAGGCAATCTGCTGCAAGGTCGAAGGAGAGGAAAATACGGTACACTAGTGAGTTGGAGAGGAAGGTGCAGACGCTTCAGACAGAAGCAACCACCCTCTCTGCGCAGGTTACTATGTTGCAGGTATGTATGGAATATGGAATTTGGTTTAAGTCGATGGTTTATCTCACTTGTCAAACAATTAGAACTATGGATTTGGTTTGTTATGCTTCAAACTTGTGCCTTTTGCATTACTTTCAGTAATCTGCAATATTTATTTGCTGAGTGTAAATAATCCGCTAACGTGCTTTTAACCGATTCTTGGCTCTGCTAGAGATATGCTCAGCTGTAGTATCCGTGAATGTTACATGAAAAATTAAAATAAATTTAGAAGTTATGAACTTTTCATGCATTCTCTATTGTTCCACGGTAAATTAGCAATCTTTTGTAAACCATATGTTTTTATGTATAATTATGTTATTCAATGTGTATGAATGAAAATGTGGTTGCATTTCAGAAGTTTCTGTAAATGTGATCAATCAATTGCTGCTCATAACTGAAGACTTTTTTGTTGGAATATCACTACTTTTTCAAGTTTGTTACTTCAATCTGTGGCACCTCAAAATGCATGTATGTTTGAGGCATTCATCTTGTCCCATCCATACTGATTCATTTATCAATTATGTCATGTCTATATTACAAAGTTTATATGATCCATTTTTGTTTTTGAAACCATGTTGTAGGATGTTCTTCTCATGTCGTAGTATTTTATGGTGCTTTAACTCGGTGTACTTGGCTTCTGAGTTATGCATTCCTAGTCAGTGCTGGACCCATTTGGTCATTTATTCCTCGATATTGGATTTAGTGATTTGAATATAAAATTTTACATTTTTATCGCTTTAGTACTCAAATCTGCTGAATATTTTATCATTATGGTAATAAACTTGGCTCATTAGTTAGATTTCCATGCGTTTTGAGGCCAGTTGTGCTTGCCAATTAACTTTTGAGGTTGGAATAATATGATGTTTATTTTGATAAATAATTTTTGTTTTTTGACACTAATGAAGCTTTCTGTGATAACATGGCGCCTTTATGGGGCTACATAGAAGCACCAAGAAACTAAACAGGCATTTCTTATTATTGGTTGTGCAGTAAAAAAAAAAAAAAGAAAAGGTTACTCAGTTTGTCATTTTGTAAACATCTAAGCCACCGCTATTGACGCACTATCAACCAGATTTGACAGGATCCTCTGACTATTTTGTTTATGGTCCACTTACACAATATGTGGTTTTCTAGACATGTTGATTCCTGACTTTTTTCCCAATTACTTAACAGAAAAGAACAAAACAGTTGCTTATTTTAATGTCAAACTGTAGTGTTCTAGGATCATTGGTGATCCCATGAATATTAGCCATTGGATGAAAAAATAAAATCCTAATAGGATAAAGTGATAAAATACTAATTAATGTTAAATTTTTATGGATCCCATGGTAAATGAAATGACATCTAATTGTGTAAATTGTGTAAATGAATATCCTTCCATATCTAGCTAATCTCATGCAAATTTATTTACGCGGTTAATCACAGGGCCATATTTGGCAAAACATTTTTATTTGATGTGGATATCATGATCCTGAATTATAGTTAATATTAGTTAAGTATGCAGGTTAAATATCACTTCAACTTTTCTATGCAATGGATGGTCTTAGTTTCCATACATCATTGTCCAGGAACTCCAACGATCATGGATCGCAACAGTACTATCCCTAATTTTAAAATATTAACAAGCAATTATATAGAAATCATCCAAAAATTTTCAAAGTTTTATTTTTGTGTCAATTTTGGTCCCACCTTTCATTTTGTCAATCATATTTTCAGTTTCAGGTTGTTGGCATCAATTAGAATCATCCCTTGTATTTTTGATATTTCTAGTTTTACATAGATATGATGTGGCATAACAACATCTTCGGATTCCAAAATAGACATGCAGATTAACATTTCTTAAAAAATAGACAGTCATGCCAGCATTCTTCAATTTTGTGATAATTTCTGTGTAGCACGTGCATTTGAGGAATCATTGGGCATACTAGTATGATATGTTCCATTATTTAAGACCAGTATTTGCCCAAATAATGTCAATACTAGGGATAAAGCTATGATTAACACTAACACCGTAAAGTTAAGTACACAATTAGAACAAGGAAAATATTGGACTGGAATTTGTACATGCACTAAAGTTTGGGATTTCTTAAGACATCCTAAAAAAGGGCTGGGTTTACAATAGAAATTTTTGTTTAGTCATTTCAAACTTAGTTTAGCCAGATTCATCTCTAGTATGCAACTTATTCTCATTTTTAATATGTCATATCATGTAGGAATATACCACTTCTTTCCTGCACCCGCAAACTATAACAAGAGCCAGTGGCATTACCCTTAGCCCCTGACACAAGTATCTAAAAGATTTACCAAGAGGCTGCCTAGAACCTTCTACCATATGTGGCTATCGAACTCAGGAAAGCTGAGCAAGAAAGGGAATGAGGTTGCTCTCAATGTGAGCTTATGTAAACCACGAAAAACTCTGAACCAAAAAATATGCTGGTTCACTTTGCCATAGGGGCCGTTAGGCATTTTACTGTTGGCTTGGAACTAAAACCTGCATTCCCCATGACTCAATTGGCTCAATGGCATTGTTTTTTAGAGAGGTGGGAAAAACTTTATGAAAGAAAAATAAACCAAAAACACCAATTAAGTTGCTGTTCAAGCTTTCTTTGGCTTTTAAATTTTTTGTACAAACTGGAATATGCTTCCTGTTGTTGCAATATCTTCAGACGATGTGTGTTTGGAAATTTTATCTGAAGTGCGCCTAAGCTTTGGTTAAATGTTTATTAACGATTATATTCATGCCCCCATCTGTACCAATCCAGGCTCTGGTAGATGTGCAACTGTTATCTAGTAATCAATCTGCAAATTTGGAGATGTTGCATTTAGGCTCTATCTTATTTCAAAAAGCATAAGTTGGATGGCTTTGGTTGATAGATAATAAACATGTGCCATCTGATTCTCTTATAGGCTTCTTCCATTTCTTATAAATTTGTGAAATTTTTGGAAAATGATTCCTTTGGAAGTGGCTCAGTTTTACTTTTGACTTGGAAAAATATTCTGTTAACTAATTTTCCTTTGTGCCCCAAATGCCAAAAAATGCAGAACCTGTATTTTTACAAAAATGTAGAAACATCATTTGTAATAGACATCTGTTTTATATTTTCATACATGATGGGCTTTTTCACACGATAGGTACATGCTTTTACATATGTGTGTGTGTGTGTGTGTGTGTGTGTGAGAGAGAGAGAGAGAGAGAGAGAGAGAGATTATTGTGTGTGTGTGTGTGGTGTGTGTGTGAGAGAGAGAGAGAGGAGAGAGAACATATGTGTGTGTGTGTGTGTGTGTGTGTGTGAGAGAGAGAGAGAGAGAGAGAGAGAGAAATTTGATACAATTATGCTCCTTGAATAATAATAAGAATAATGTATTGACAGCATGCTGTCAGATCATGTTCCTTTTCTTTTCTGATTTAGTTTCCTTTCACACTATAGTTCTATGTAATTTGTTATTCTATGTGTCCGCATACTCCCACATTGTTAACTGAACCTGCCAGGTTGTTGGATAACACCCCAAGTTAGACGTGCTATTGCATTCATTAACTCGTCAAAAAACCTAATTAGTGATTGTGTGGGGCTTCACTCTGTTAATGTTTTCCTTTTTTCCATCTGTGATCCATTAAGAGGACATATCATCCATCTTATTATCATTGTTCTCTTATTGTCTTTTGTTAATAAATGCTTCTTATACACGGAGAGAACCAAACATGCCAAAGGATATAAAATAATAGGAGAATAGTGCTTATGTATATTCTTTTATTGATGCAGAGAGACACTACTGGCTTAACAGCAGAGAATAAGGAGCTGAAACTACGGTTACAGGCTATGGAGCAGCAAGCACAACTTAGAGATGGTAAGATGCTCATCAAAATGATATCTTGATATTTATATGGGGATTGAATAACTAAATAAAATAGATAAGCCTTTCTATACATCTCAAGTTGATGAATCTAACGTTTTAAATGCACTTACATTTTGATCGCTCCCTGTGTGATCTAAACATCTCTCTTTCCAGAATATATATTAACATGAATATGTCTTTGCGATTTCTCTATTGTGCACACACGTGTAAAGCTATGTATGTGATCCTTGAATACAATATGAATAATCTTTTTCCAAACATGATCACTTCTTTTCTTTTTATTTTTTCTCCGTCGTTCAATTGTTTCTGTTAACTGAATCCAGAATTTTTGGTAACTGGTGTTTGTGTGCTTTTCTGCTGTCTGCAGCTCTGAATGAAGCATTAAGGGAAGAAGTGCAGCGGCTTAAGATAGCAACTGGTCAAATTCCACCTGCCAATGGAAATCCTTTCACTCGAGGCTTGACTCCACAATTTTCCTCCCATCAGCAGGCCTTACATCATTTTCCCAGCTCCCAATCACAACCACATCAACAGCAACAGCAGCAGCAGCAGCAGCAGCAGCAGATTCACATGCCTCAGACATCCACCAATAACCAGACTCTCAACGGACAGCCCCGTCCGGGCTACGCAAACTTCAGCCAGAGGGTCTAGTGTCTGTCAACAAACTTCAGTTGCTGCCACAGTAGAAATTAATTGAAGCAGGTAGTATCATCTTGTATATGTAAACATGTAAATGCGTTGCAGGTAAAGGTTGTGAGTGTTGCTCAGAGCTTCTTCTCTCACATAAAAACCAAGTGTCACTTTAGGAATACAAATTAGGTATTTGTGAAATAAGATTGGTGGTTGATTGTTGTAATCTATGCATTTGTAGAATTATTAGCTTTTGGAGAATCATAGGAGTTACTAAAACCAGAATTATAAAGAAATTAATCGCTTCTCATATTTATATTTTGGAATCTTTTTTTATAATCTTTTTTTTTTTTTTATTCTAATTCTAGTATTTTATTCTAATAGTACTTTATTAGAAATAAATAAGTATTCAATGAATTTTTTTTTATCATTCGATATACGGCACTTCGTGACCACAGCCATGCACCACTTGTGTCCCAAAGGCTCTCTTAATTCTAGCATTCAATTTGTATTCCTGAATAATCTCATTTTTTAATTATTCAGGTATGTCAAAGGGAAAATAGTTTCCCCTTGCTGCAGTTCCCAAGCAGCAACTACCAACTGGAGCATTCATATGGGATGTCACAAACAACTGATTCTTTGTCGTTTTGATTTGATGCTTGGAAGCCTGAACTTGTCGTTCAGCACCCAAAATGTGAAAGATGAAGTTAGACTTGGAGGCAATTTCAGGGCTGCAGATGTAATATAAACTAGGAGTCCTATTATGGATGTATCATAATTTCATTGAGTCCAAGCTAATTTCTTCCTTTTAACGTACAAAATTCTCAGTGAAAGTACTTTAAAATTTTTGGTATGATAAATCAAATTGAACGGAATCAGTGCTCATCAAATAGCGTATAAAATTAAATTGAGCGAATTTGTTTGGTTCAGTTTTAGCTGTTTTTGAACAGATTAGAATTATTAAATAGCAGATCAAATTGAAAAAATTTCGATTATTTCTTAAAAAAAAAAAACTAAAAAAGGAACTGATTATATCAAAAGTTGAAAGAAATTGGTTCGGTCAATTTTATTTGAATTTTATGAACTTTGCTCAGCCTCAACTGTGAGCGAGCAACAATTAACTGTAACCATTGAACCGAACAGATCTTATGTCAATGAATATTAATATTAAATTTTATTTGATAAAAATAAATTTCATGAAATTTTAGGAAATATACTTCCTCTAGAGTCAGCTTTTCACCAGATTTGATAGTTTTAGAATCATTTACTTAATTATGCGTTGGTTTGAAACAAGGAAAATGGAGTTACGTAATGTACTGGCTTACTGGTTAAGTATCCACCTTGTATAATATAAAAGATCAAGGATTCGTGCACCCATCCTTAGAGAAATTTCCATGTGTTAAACAATAGTTGAAATTTGTACTTAAGTGTAAAATATTTAAATCATAAAATGCTCATAGGATGTCAAAATGTAAATACTCAATTAATTCAATAATTACTTATTTAAAAGAATTATATATTTATTTTTGGATACATTGAAATGTTGATCTTAGTCGATCAATTGTTGTTCGATTGGTTTTTTTTCGTCTAATAGTTTTATAAGGAATGCGAAGAGTATAAATCTCAAATTCGCATTCCCTTCCTCTCATAAATTATTAAAAGAAATAATTATTTCTTAATATACCTATAATATAATATTTCGATTTATTAAATCTACCCGGTGGTCTTAATTGACTTAATTATATTATGTCCTGCAAATAGCATCAAAGGACGGCAACCAAAAGTATCCAGGAAACCAAGAACAACCACGTGTTAAAGCCACAGCTATCACTTCCAAATTCAACCCTACGAAAATAATGGATTCGTGTGTTATACAAGAAATGTTAATCTCACCCGTGGTATTTCAACTTAGCACTACCACGTGTTATTGTGTCTAATTTCAATTTGTTAGAAGACAAAATGAGGTAAGATGGCTCTTACCAGATTCTAGAATAAGCACATATTTGATTTAGTTTGTTCATATGACCTAGCTGATACTTGATAATATTGATTTTATCCGGTTACTATCAAAACATAAAATGTAAAATGACAATGAAGGGTATAATTGTTTTATAATGCATAATAAATATATATATATAATTTTTAAGGTGAATATATTATTTTTTATGTTGATGCATTATATAAAGACAAATCCAAAAATCATTAACCAATTTGTTTATTTTTCTCTTGTGCCAGGGCACAAGAAGCCTCCATCCATCTTATACAATTACAATGCCGTTAATAACTATATGGTAGAGCAGGAGCAACTTCAGGCCACAACACTTGGAGGAAATCGCACAAATTGTTAGACTTGAAAAAAAATAATAATAAAGATGATAAAAGACAACAAAGAATATGCAGAAGAATTTATTGTTTATAACCTTATATACATATACATTATTTGTGTGTTTGTGTCTAACAGATCATTATTGTAAGCTCAACATTTGGTCCTCCTGAGGTGATCAATTGACTAGCAATGGATCCCACCATATTACTCATCATTGCTCTTGTAAGCTTGCTTGTGTTAGCTTTTTACTTGCTGCATTTATGGATTTCTCCAAAAGCAATGGAGTACATTCCAGGAAGCTTGGGTTGGCCTATTGTAGGTGAAAGCTTCTCATTCCTATCTGAGTTTTCTAGTCCATCTGGTATATTCAGCTTCATGAAAAAGAGGCAACAAAAGTAAGTAACCATGAAATTCAAACTCAATACTCCTGTTTTTGCATTCTCATGATTTTTATTTCAGGTATGGAAAGGTTTTCAAGAGCTTTGTCCTGGGTAGATTCACCGTCTTCATGACAGGAAGAGAAGCGAGTAAAATCTTATTGACAGGAAAAGATGGAATGGTGAGCTTGAACCTTTTCTATACAGGGCAGCAGGTGCTAGGCCCTACAAGCTTGCTTCAAACCACTGGAGAAGCACACAAAAGGCTACGGAGACTGATTGCAGAACCTTTATCAGTTGATGGGCTAAAGAAATATTTTCATTTCATTAATACTCTAGCTATTGAAACATTAGATCAGTGGCCTGGACGAAAAGTGTTCGTCCTTGAAGAAGCTTCTACAGTTAAGTCTTGAAGATAAACCAAAAAAACAAACATTTTTTCTTTTGCATTGTTTGTGGGGATGTAATGATATCCTTTGCCCTTTTGCAGTTCACTCTCAAAGTAATTGGCAACATGATAATGAGCCTAGAACCCGCAGGAGAAGAGCAGGAGAAGTTTCGGTCAAATTTCAAAATAATCTCTTCTTCCTTTGCATCACTGCCATTCAAGATCCCTGGAACAGCTTTTCATAATGGTATTAAGGTATCAATTAATCAGACCTCAACTACTTCTTGCAGTAGCATAACTATGAATCAAATGATCTTTGCCATTGAAGTTAAAAAACCAGAAGCATACCTTTTTCAGTAATATGTTTGGATTCTTGAGTTGATGTGAAATCTAGGATATAGTATGGAGTATATTTGAAATGTTGGAAAGTTATTTGAAGGATTTGTTGTGGAAAATTCATAAATATTTGAAATCCAAACACGACCATTCAAATATATAAATCAAAACATGACATTAATGCGATATTTCTCTTGTTCAGGCTAGGGATAGGATGTACGAAATGCTAGATTCAACCATTGCAATGAGGAGAAGTGGAAAAAGCTTCCAACAAGATTTCTTAGAGTCACTGATAATGAAGCATACGAAAGCAGGAGATGGGGAAGATAATGAAAATAAACTTACTGATCAACAACTCAAGGATAATATATTAACTCTGCTAGTTGCAGGTCATGATACTACAACAGCTGCTCTAACATGGCTTGTCAAATTCCTTGATGAAAATCCTCAAGTTCTTGAAAGACTTCGAGTAATGTTGACTTGAGACACCTGTGATGACAAATTTTAGTTTTTAACTCATTACCTCTAACTGAAATCTTATTTTGGACTTGCAGGAGGAGCATAGAGAAATACAATCAAAGAGAAGAGAAGGAGAGAACCTTACATGGTCTGAAGTTAACAGCATGCCTTACACAAACAAAGTGAGAAGCAAATTGCAAACTGATTTTGAAAATCCATACTGTTAAACTCTTCCCTGATCAATCATTTGTCTTTATATGGAGTTCAGGTGATCAGTGAGACTCTTCGAAGAGCAACGATTTTACCTTGGTTTTCAAGAAAAGCTGCCCAGGATTTCGAAATTGATGGTACCAACTATCAAACTATCAATCAACAAGCCACACAGTAAAAGCTGATATTTAACTCTATCTTAGTCTTAACATTGCAGGATATACAATCAAGAAAGGCTGGTCAATAAACTTGGATGTAGTCTCTATTCACCATGACCCAGAAGTTTTTCCTGATCCATATAAGTTCAATCCCAGTAGATTTGATGTAAGCATATCCACTTGCACATTTCCTTTCCTCCCACTAGCAGAATGAGTAATGAAATTCCAAATAAATTTCAGGAGACCTTAAGGCCTTTCAGCTTTCTTGGATTCGGTAGTGGACCCCGTATGTGCCCTGGACTGAACCTGGCCAAACTGGAAATTTGTGTCTTCATCCATCACCTGGTCACTAAATACAAGTAAGATGAAACTGAAATTTTCAAGAATAGCACAATACTTTTTCTCTCCTCTCAAGAAGCCAACTCTTTATTAATATTATGATCTTTGTAACAGGTGGAAACCTTTGGAGAAAGATGACTCTGTCCAGCCAACACTGGTGCGGATGCCCAAAAACAAGTATCCCGTTGTAGTTGAATCAATACTTTAATCTCCCGAGGATAACTACAAGGGAAGAAATAATGTCAAAGCACAACAAGCTGAAGGATAACTTTTACAGCCTTTTTTTTCACATATGACTAAAAATTGAAGTGTATACTCTTGTTGTGCCTGCTAAAAATGCATTGGAGTTCAATTTTCTGCCACAAAAACAAGCCATTAAAAATTTATATATATGCAGAGATAGTATTGCAGTTTTGTCAATGCACTGTCAGAGGAAGGATTTGCAGAATATAAGAGGAGAGGTTACAGGAAGAGGGAGAGTTGACCCATATTTTATACAACTAAAAAAAAAAGGCCTACTCTCGGCAAGAACAGGTGCGGAGTTCAAACAGCCTTAATGGGAATTTTATAGTTTCAATATTGAAGCACATCTCAGCTTAAAACAATTTGATCATCATAGCAGTAAGAGATAAATAGCAGGACGAGTAAACAAGAATAAGAAAATAGAAACACGAGGAAGAACGAAAAGGCCTCAGTAAAGAAATCTAAATTGATTCTAAAATAATCAACCTTCTGTTACAAAATAAAACAACTGGTACAACAGACTAATAGTTCTCAACCATTTAAACTCGTCACTTATGCAAAGCACAAGCACAATTCTCACTCCCAACATCAGTTGCAATACAAGGAGACTGAAGTTGTCCATCCTGGTACCATGTTGAGCGCTTCTCAATTAATTCATTCAAGAAATTATCCAGCTTCTCAATAGTGACATTGGGCATCACCACCACATGAGCAATACTTCCTTGGCAAGCTAGTTGCCACCTACGAACAAACTCCTCATCTCTAGGCCGCTCAAACACAACAGTACTGCTCAACTCATTCAACATTGCACTAATCCCAGCATCACGTAGGCGATCCTTCAAGTAATGAGCATTTCTGAGACATTTCTGTACTTCTTTCTGGAATCCTCTGTAACCTTTTCTGTTGAGGGTGTACCAAAGGAAGATAGGAGCGTGACCATTGCGGCTCCCCATGATTGTGGCATCCCTTGAAGCAAGGTACTCGACGTTCCTTGAGAGAACATTAATGTGTTCCAACCTTGTTAGCTGAACACCGCATGGCATTGGACAGCCAACAAACTTGTGACCAGAAACACTCACACTTCCGATAGGCTTCTTGAAAGAAACCTTTGGTGCCTGTTCATGAGCAATAATCAGCCAAATAGAGTAAAAAAAAAAAAAAAAAAAAAAACAGGTGGACCAAGCCAACAAAACTTTGACAGAAACACTCACACTTCGATAGGCTTCTTGAAAGGAAACCTTTTGTTTGGTGTTCCTGTTCATGAGCAATAGATCAGCCCAATGAGTAATAAAAAAAAAAAAAAAAAAAAAAAAATCCGATAATTAATGGCGACAAAAGTAACATCTTACCACATTTTATACTATCTGCTATGATTAAAATATATTATATCATCAATTTTCACTAACCAAAATAAATAAAAATCCATTCTATCAAAAAAAAAAAAAAAAAAAAAAAAATCCATAATAATGGGACAAAAGTAACATATTACCACATGCTTAACATCCAGATTAAAAAAAAAGGTCATCCATGTCATTTCACTAACAAAATAAATAAACATTCCATGTTCATCAGAAATAACTTGCTAATACGTTTATGTTTCCACCAATCACAAGCCTAAAATGAAATCACTTACACGCTTGACGAAAGGCATCATAAGTCCAAATAACGCTCCATCACAGTGGATGTAGAACCGATCATGCGTAAATCCACTTTCTTCAAGCGTTTGTATTACAAGATCAAGGTCATCAACTGCTCCTTTGACAGTTGTGCCTGAAATAAAAACAACACATCAAAAAGATGAGTAATCTGTGAGCACAAAGATAGACACATATATCCATCTGTGTAAAATAACCATAAGAAACATACCTATATTAACGTTGATGATAGCTGGTTTGTCCTTGTTAGCGAGTAGTTTAACTTTAAAATCAGCACAATCGATTTCACCAGAAACCAGACAGTCAATCTTCACACATCCCATTCTATACATACGAGCTGCTTTGAAGACAGAATAATGTGATTCTCGTGATGCATACAGAATTCCATCTGGAAGCACTTCCCTCCTGCATGGATAACATTTTTTCTCATTTCCCTCGTTTCTGAACTTGACAATAATCAGATATGCAGAAATAAAAAGAAAATTAAAAAATCACTACTTACCCTACTAGAATCCCATGAAGATTTCCTTCTGTACCACAGTTGGTTATGTAACCCCAGTATTGATCTTTCTCTATCTCCCACAGACGGGCAAACCAATCTAAAACACCAACTTCAAATTGTCTTGAATGGACACCATAGTTACTTTCAATAAATGGATCACCAAGATTGTTTATGGAGAAATGCTGCAACTGTCCTAAAGCACCGTAGTCGAAATCCAAATTATAAGGATAACCTGTAACAGATATAAACAATTGAGTGCAAGAACTTGATAGGCATCCCAAAATAAATTGAGAGAAACTTAATATGCATCCAACTTGTTTTTCTGCAATTCCTGTGAATAATTAACCACAGCCAACAAATGCTGCTTGAACAAATTATACAAAATGATAAAAACTTTAGTGCAACATTTTTGCCCTTTCTTTTAATGACTTCTATGCTACTCTTCAATGAACAACAATCTTGACAAAAAACCAATTGCTAAGTTTCCATCCTTTCTGAATGATGCTTGATTTCTTAAAACACCCAAATGCATTGCCTTAGCTTGGATTTACAAGAACATTTCTCGTATCCAAAGTAAAATTCTTTAATTAGAAGATTAATACTCCATCTGCTCTGTTGAAATTGACAGCTTTTTGACTTTTTATTCCATTTAAATGACACTTTTAGAAAATCAAAGTAATATTAATTATTTTATTTCAATTTTACACTTATGCAGATATATGTGATTGTGCATTAATTAAAGTCAATTACCCAACATGGTTTAATCATTTTCTTAGTTATTGGGAAGTAAAAAACTCAGGAATTGAACAGAACTGAAATAGTAAAATTCAATCATACAAAAAAAAGTACGGGCCAAACAGAAACCAAATTTATCAAAAGGAACATAACAAAATGAAAGATATTATACCTAAATGATGCTTTGTCCTTTCCATCAAGGTCTTTCTATACCTAGCCAAAACGCTAGCCATATAAGCTTCTTTATCTCCAGTGTGCTCATCGTTAGCATCTGGTTCTGTGACCTCAAGACACTCAGTGTGCAAGTTTCTCCCTAACACAATCTCTCTCCCATTTTGTTTCGTCTCCTCTTCACCAGCCACCTCTTCCTCCGCCGTCACAACCGGTGGCAAAGGCTCTTTAATCACAGCCCTCAGATCGAAGTCCTCCGCCAAGATCTCCGCCTTTTCTCCGTTAATGTGGACAGGAACAGGCGCCGCTTCGACTTCCATCGGCATCTACTGCAATTAGAAAATGAATAAAAAGTTGAGATTAGAAGCTCTGTATTAACTGTAGATCTCAAATGCGTGCTGGTGTGTGAATAGGAGAGAAAGAGTACCTAAACGAAGGTGGCTGAGGCTATTGCTGAAATCAAGGGAGTCGAAATGGAAAAGTGGTGAGGAACTTCAGTATTCGTTCAATATTTATAAGGCAAAAATCTGCTCTTTTTCATGCTTCGAGACGCCAGCAAAACTCTTGTTTTTCCTATTAAAAAAAAAAACAGAAATCTTCCCTTATTATTTTGTTTTTTAAAAAATAATAGTATTCAAGTTATAGCCAAATTAGAATCTTTATTTTTGAAAACTAACTATAAAGTCTATGACTTATAATTTCATTAATACTTTAGTCTTAAAAAAAAAAAAAAAAGCTTATTTTCACTATCAAATGACTCATAAATTCATCAAAAGTTATAATTAAACTAATTATAGGGTCCTTAAGGTTATAATTCTATTAACAATGTTAGTTAGGATTTTGACAAAAATAATATTCTTGAAAAAATTATTTACAAATTTAATGTCAAATGAAAACTATTTATCAATCTAATATTTATTCTGTCATGAAGAAAAAATGTTGTACAACCATTAACTCAATTAGCGATTTCAGTGTAATAAAAAAAGTAATACCTGATAAGCAGTCAGCAAAAAGTAACTGTAGGAATAAGCAATAATTTTTATTTTCTATTGAATCACTGATTCAATTGGAGGTTTTAACACAAAATAAAAATTCTAAATTGCAAAAAAAGGCCTTTCGTACAGACACAATTTATTTGATAGTTTTAGTACAAATACGGTATGTGTGACTACTGGTCCGCAAAAAGTACACAAAAGAATAATGTTTTGTTAAGAATTCATGAGGTTAACTAATGGTTTCAACAAAAAAAAAATTGTTTACTCAAAGTATTTTTTTAACCAAAACACGCACATCATCTGGTGGTTTTGGTGCATAAATATTTCAAATTAAATAATAAAAACATAAATTACCTTACACAGTTATAAATTACCAACAAAAATAAAGTGACTCGAGTTGAACTTGTATTACAACGTGGGTTTCTACATACTACGTCTTCTCAAGTGTCTTGATATTCTTCTTCATGGTTAATATTTATAATCGACATTCATGCGATGAGTTTGAACCATATTCACATATAGTTATTGTTGGCCGAAAAATGTCATGAGTCTATTGACTAGATGTCATCATCATCTTAAAAGAAATCATTAAATGAATGTAGAACATGATGTAGTTCTATGTGGTGGAATCTTACAAACTAACAGATGATATGTGTTTTGTTGAAAAAAATATTTTGAGAAAACAAATATTTTTTTAGTGAAATCATTAATTAACCTAATGAACGCTTAATAAAATGTTATTCTCTCGTATACTTTTTACTGATTAGTGATTACATTTTATAATTGCACTAAAACTACCAAATAAATTGTCTTAGTGAAGAGAACATTTGACAATTTAAAGTATTATTATTGTTTATGTTGTTTATCAGTACGTGTTACTTTTTCTATTGCATTAAACACGTCAATTGAGTTGGTAGTTTTAATGCAACATTTTCTCTCCATAACAATACATATATAGATTGGTAAATAATTTTCATTTGACAATGGATTTGTAAACAATTTTTTCAAGAACATTCTTTTTGTTAAAATCTCCTTTTAGTCATCCTTGTTTAGACAGAAGACCAAAATATTAATGAATCACAAAATTAATAACCTCATAGTTAGTTTTTAAAAATAGAGGTTTTATATGTTAATTTGAGTATAGTTTAAGAATCTTTTTTTTTTTCCTTTTTTTTTACCCCATATATTTTCTGATGCATCATATGAACATTAAATTTATTATTGTTACTTCAAAAAATATAGAAATTCACTAATGTATTATGGAAGACCTTCTGGCATATCAAATTTTGAGAATGACTTCGTTATATATGAATTTTGTTAATATTATACATCTCTCTATATTACTAATAATAATTTTTAGAGTTTTTTATTTTTACATGCAAATACTGATTTGATATGTGGTTATTATAACTTTCAAATAATAATTTTCACAATTTTTAACTACCTAATAAGTGTTTAATTGATTTAATTTTAATATTGAAACATTTAATATAAATATTTTGCAAATTGAAGTGTTTAATGATACAAATATATAAGTTGCAGTATCTAAAGAATCAAAATAAAAATTAAAAATGCTAAAGGTTTTTTGCTAATTTATGTATTTTACCTTACTATTTTTTGTATCATTTAAGTGTTATTTTAAATTATTCCTTCACCACCTCTTAGAGGACATTTGATTTAACTCATTCATACAGCTAATAAATAATTCGTATTTAACAACTAGATTATAGCTCTTTAATAAGAATTTTAATCAATAGTTGATAGATGTGCCAATCAAAAGTTGCTAATTGCATCACTATGTTTTCGAACTTTTTTTCGTATCAACAGATAATTGATTTGTGACCTTATGAGAATAATTAGTAAGAAAATTATTTGTTTTTCAGATTAATATTTTTATTAATTTATTTATAATTATTTAAAATAATAAATTTCTATTAAATACTATTTTAAAATATTTATAACAAATTAAAATAAAAAACAATATAGTCTTCTTAAAAATTAATATATATATATATATCAACATAATGTGAAACGATTATACTATTAACCGTTATTTTATATTTTACCATCAATTATTACCAAAATTTATCAAATATTAACATTTATTAGCTAACTGCCATTAATCATCAGTGATAGCAACTGCTATCAGCCATTAACATATATGAGCAGTCAAACTAAATGAATTTTTAATAATTTTTGTGGTAAACAAACACATTAATTATTTTAAAAAAAAATAAATAAATAATAGTCAGTTACAATTATTTTTTTTCCACAATTATCGTTTAGATAGTAATTAGTAATACTACCTCAAACATATTACAAGTGTGTTGTTTAATATTTTTTTTATCCCACTTCATTTGTTAGTTAGAAATTAATTAGTTTTTTTAACGTTATCCTTGTCTTTTAGTATTTTCACTAAGTATCAATAAGCATTAATTATTTAGAGAATTGATAGAAGGATTTAGTGATTATAATTTTTTTGCCAAAATTTAGGTTGCTTGATTATTATTTTAATCCTTGTGTAATTATTTTAAACACATTTATAATGAAATAAAGACGGTAATTACAAGAGTGAAATCTTGTCAACTATGATGTTTTCTAGTTAATTTTCTCGCTATCTATAAGAACGTGAAAGCGATGGTTTCAAGTTCAAATCCCTCGGTCGTAAGATTTTTAACTAATTTAAGAAGTCAATTAGAAGACCATCTCATGTTATATAATCCATAATGTGTAATATCCTCAATTATAAGACTTAAGTGCTTATTAAGTATATTACGGGCGACATGCTATGTCTTACAGTAAGGTAAGGTGTGACATAATGGCTTAATATATAAATTTAACTTTGAATTTTCGGCGATTATCCTTATAGCGCCTTAAATTTTACGGTGGACTCATCATGATCCTGGACTTCTATTTTCTTCAATAACTATGACCCTCGTTGAAAGAAAAAAAATAAGTGTGTTATAGCATGTTGATGTGGACTTAAAAAATAACCGTGTATTAATTATATTGTACGTAGGATTATGCGATGTCACTTCCATTTAAAAATAAAATGACCTTCTAGAATCCTCTACCCACACAAACGATTCCTATTTGCCTTCTTCCTCACCTAGTCCTTCATTTTTCGTTTTCAAGCTTCATATATGTCTTCCTATACTGATAGGAATCAGCTCTAATACCACTCGTTGGGCATCAGTTCTAATACCACTCGTTGGGCTCTTTCAACTAATTAAAAGAAAATTAACGTAGCGAAAAATAGAAATGGAACACACAGAAATTTACGTGGTTCACCCTCAACTGTTTTAGGGCTACGTCCACGGAACAAACTCCGAATCATTCTTCCAACTGTCTTTAGGGCTTACGGTCCGACGGAAATGCAACAACTCCGAAATCATTCTGCGAGCAGTCCAACTATTAAAATAAATAATACGGTACACAAGGAGAATAATACAAAAAATAATAGCACCCCACAAAGTGTTTTTCAAAAAACAAACCCCCATAATAATTTGCCTCACTATTTTTCTCTCTCCTACATTTAGGATAACTCCTCCTAAAAACTCAGATTAACTCTCTTTTTTACAATTTCTTCTTTCCTGCTTCTGTCCCGTGTCTCCTAATTGAGGAAATCCTCTCTATTATAGGAGAGGAAATATGACAGCGTGTGTGGAGTTACACACGGCTTCTTTCATTCTAAGTTAGGTTGCCAATCTTTTAGCCAACCTGTTTGCCAATTCTTTTTCTGTAAATAACAGTTTTTCCTTTTTTTTTTCTTTCAAACTGGTTTGGTTCCCACTTTAGTAAGGCGTGCACCACCGTCCACAATGCATATATCTTGATCCTTCTTTACCGTCTCCCTTCCCTTAAAAAGATCAAATAAAAACAAAATCAATGATCTCGCTATTTCATGAATGGCACGGTCCAACTGTAGTAAACCACTCCAATTTTTAAAAAATCATTTAAAATAAAAAGGGAAAGAGAGAAAGAGAGACGAGAGAAGGCTGAAGCTTTGTCATGTGATATTACTATTTAGGGGATTTCATAATTGTACAAGTGACGGTTATTGTTCTTTCCTTTTTTTCTTTAGTATTATTTATTCTTCGATTTCAATACTCAATTGTTCTTATGTATTTTATAATCACCTGTTAAAGCGAAAAATAGAAATGGAACACACAGAAATTTACGTGGTTCACCCTCAACTGTTTTAGGGCTACGTCCACGGAACAAACTCCGAATCATTCTTCCACTATTAAATAATAATAGGTACACAAAGAGAATAATACAAAAATAATAGCACACAAAGTGTTTTTCAAAAACACCCCATAATAATTTCCTCACTATTTTTTCTCTCTCCTAATTTTAGGAAACCCTTCCTAAAACTAGATAAACTCTCTTTTTCTACATTTTTTCTCTTTCTGCTTCTGTGTGTCTCAATTGAGGAAAATCCTCTCCTATTTATAGGAGAGGAAATATGAGAGCCGTGTGTGAGTTACACACGGCTCTTCATTTAAGTTGGTTGCCAATCTTTTACCAACCTTTTGCCAATCTTTTTAAATAACACGTTTTTTCCTTTTTTTTTTTCTTTTCAAACTG